TTTCTTAGTATATTCTAGCTTACTATTTTTATTCTCTCTGAAATATTTTAGCTTGAATTATTTATAAGTTTATAACTAGTATAGCATGTGGTTCAGGCCATTAGTGTTTATTTTTGGAATATGAGTGCTATGACATCAATCTTACATCAAGTTAGATTAACATTTATGATAGCTGGGGTAAAAACATACCTTTAAGCTCATTTATTTCCTAGAATTTAATGGCTCTTGGTTCTAAATTCTAATAAATTAATTGAGTAGACCTCACTTTTTCCTATCAAACTCCTCTTACATATAACAGTGTAGTATTTTTTGCATGAAATTAAGGTGTCAGTAATTGTTATCTATCTGCAACATGGAAGCAAATGTTGTCAAATTGTGTGATACTTTGGCATTTATACATGCAAATTGTATAAAGTATTGAATTTTTTTAAAAATTGAGAGTGGAGCATGTGGCTGGTGCCCTAACCACTGAACTACAGGCGTCCAGCTGTAAAGTATAGAATTTTTAAATGATAACCCAAATATATAATTTTTCTTCAGTTTTGGGAAAGGATTTAGTGATTGTCTTGAGCACTTGTGGCACCAAAATGAAGGCTTGAACCAGACTGTCTTGTTAAGAATGTTGAGGCTGAATGTGATTTTCTTCCCCTAAAATCTGCTTCCTAGTGTTCTGTCATTCTGCGAATACAATAATCAGTTCTTCCATTAACTTTTAATTCTTTCACTATAATGATAATGTTCCAAAAACTGCATAGGATTTGGGGGGAGGGGTGAGTTTTTGCCTATTTAATACTAACAATGAGTTCTACTGTCTCCATTTTACAGATTAGACCACTGAAATGTAAGAGTTTCATTCATTCACTTATAGTCACAAACTAGGAAATGTCATGGCTGGGATTTCAGTTCAGTTTTTCATATTAAGCATGATACTGTAAGTAAAGCACAGGGCTTAATTTTCAGTTAATATTCTCATTTTTTCATATACTCATCCATTTTTAGTGTGCATTTTTTTTTTTTTATATAAGCAGGTGGTATGAGGGGTTGTAGTCAATGTTAGGACATTGATAATTGGCCCATATCGAGAAAGAATCAACAGTCCGAGCCTTTTGAATCCAGTTTGACAAATACTGAGACTCCTACAGTGTAGAAGCCGCCATGTCAAATGCTGTGCAAGGTTGATTGTTAGCAGACAACAGAATGGTATCCAAGAAGTTCTGTTTTTTCATGAATTTCAGGCAACCCATTAACTTCAGTTGATTTAAAAAAATCAACTGACCTAGGCCATGTTTCATTTCAGCTGTTTTCAGAAGTCTTATCATCCCTTTCTAGGAAACTGAAACCTTTGATTATTAAGAAATGTAAGCTATGAACTCCTGCCAGGTCAGGAATTCAGTGATTCCATTTCCTGTCACTTAGTAAATTTTAGGGACTATTTTCATATTACCTTTTATAATTGATTTAAGTAGAGTGGTAATAATAGAAATGGGGGTAAATTCTCATTAACTTTTTTTACCTCTACTTTTTAATGTGGAATGGATTCCAGCTCAAATTAAGGTGAATTTTCCAGATAGTCAGCACTAATACTAAAATGAAAAGTAAATGACACAATTTTCTTATAATTTGGCAGCGCTTTGAACTCCAAGATTCAGAAAGCTCTATGCTTCCTAAAGAGATTCTAAGAGTGGAGAGGATAGCTGAAAACCATGCTTCCGTCACTATCCAGATTGCAAAAAAAGAGGTGACCATTAAGGTAAAGAATCACAGGTTTGTTCTTTCTAGGGTCTACATTGTTCTGCCTGTTTTTATGACCTGAATTGAGTTTATGATATAAGTTCTTCTTCGGCTTGATAATAGCACATCTATATGTCTGTATATCTATGTCTCCAGAGTCATGTGTACTTGTGAACTGAAAAAATTCAGGAGAAACATGGGATAGCCTTTCATCAGAAGTTCAAAGTTGACCTCTGGGAAATTCAAATCAAGGGTGATTAATGAAAGCGTTTTGTACTATGAATCCTTGGTAAGAAATAGTGTTTTCAAACATATTTTAGCTGCCAGAGAACCCTCTTCTCAAATAAAATCTTTCTCAGCTACACAAAACTGTTAAAACAAGAGCTGTTCTGCTTGAATAGTTTTTAGAAGAGGGGAATGGCATTTGGTCATATGTAGGTCACTGGGAAGTTTTGAGACAGACTGTGTTATGGTCCATTATTTCACTTCCAAGAAACAGTCAGCAGCATCCTTTCTGACTCACCTGTGCAAGTTTCAGTTTGCTCAGCTTGTCAGTGTTGCTGGGAGGGCTTCGTTTGTTTCCATCTGCACAGATTTTACATTTCTTGATTTTTGTGTATCTTGAAACCTTAGTAATGACCCACCTAGAGCTCCATGTGCTTGCTCTATTTCCCTTTTTTCTAACCTTTTATTTTTGAGTCCTGAGAACCCCAAGAGGTCATAGAAAACTAAGAAACAAAGCTTGAAACATGCTAAGTAAATGTCAAAAAGGATAAATCTTGCTTCTTTATGTTGTGGCAGAGCAACTTTCATGATAAGCTTGTTTTAATGTGATATTAATATTATTCATGTTACTGTACTTATTCATTGAACTAAACATTGAATAATTTGTTATGAGCCAGGCTCTATGTTAAGATTTACTGAGGGTTTATTGTGTGCTAGTTACTACATTTACCTGGTTGTGTATCTCATGCATTTAAATTCCCAGTAGCCCTAGAGATGAGTTTTACTATCTCCATTTCATAGATTAGACCACTGAAATGTAAGAGGTTCACTGATTCGCCTGTAGTCACTAGCTAGGAAATGTCATGACTGGGATTTGTAGGGTTGCTAGGGGGTCACCTTCCTCTGTCTCTTACACGTGAATGACCTCGTATAGCTGATAACTTGGCATACAAGCTGGTGAGTAAGGACTACATTGGAATGGCTATGGGGACATTGGGAAGGGAGCAATACTGGGATTCAGGAGAAGGACTAGGGAAAGCTTCAGAGAGGCGGTAGAACTTGAGCTAGGTCTTAAAGAATGACATAGGATTTTTCCAGTGGCCAAGTAGTACATATATTATTTGCTTTTGTAATGGCTCTCTAACTTCACTGGCTCCAGTCCCTTCCAGTTAGTTTTCCATATTAAGACTGGGATGATCATTCTTAAATGCAAATTACTTCCAAACTTAAAATTCTTTTTTTTCTTCAGTTTTTGGCCAGGGCTGGGTTTGAACCCACCGCCTCCGGCATATGGGGCCAGCACCCTACTCCTTTGAACCACAGGCACTGCTCCAAACTTAAAATTCTTTAGGGTTCATGTTGTGTATATAGTATGATTAGGTCCAGAGTCCTCATCAGAGCATGACCCTCAGGCAACTAATAACAGGATAAGAAATACAGAGATTTTATGAACAGATGCTCCTGAGTGGAGAACTAAGCTAAAAGTGAAAAGAATTTGTGGATGTGGCTTTTAGAAATCAGGAGGTCCTTGGTGACTTTGGATATTCTAGTGGGCTGATTTAAAATTCTGTGTCTAATAACTGGAATTTGGGAAAAACTTCATTCTCCACTGGTGATACTATTACTACAAATCACAAATAGCATGAAAATGACATGATTCTTATGAATATGAATGACAGCATGAGACTTGAATTTTAGAGGAGTGATTGATTTGGAAATCTGATGATAATGATTCTCAGATATGTTAGTGAGAAAACAGTGGCAACTAGATTCTAAGAAAAGTATAGAATTGAATTGACCAAGGAATTAGTGGGAGCCTTTTAAGTGCCAGTTATGTGCTTTAAGTTACTAATATTTTGAGAAAAGCCTATGCATATATATTTACCTTTCTTTAATTATAGGTGCCAGCTGGGACCAGGCCATTAAGTCAACCTTGTGCATCAGACCATTTCATCCAGACGTTAAGCCATAAGCAGCTACAAGCTGAGATGATGCAGTCTCACATGGTTAAGGACATATGTTTAATTGGAGGAAAGGTAAGAATGGCAGACTCAGCGAAAACTTTTATTTTTTGGCTTTTCATTGTTTTGACTTATGCCTTCAATAATTGTGTTTTCATTTGTTAGGGCTGTGGAAAAACAGTCGTCGCTAAGAACTTTGCTGATACCTTAGGATACAACATAGAACCTATTATGCTCTATCAGGTACAGCGTTCATTTTTAGTACTTGGATTGTAAATGTACATGTTTAGCGCATCAGTGGAATATATGGGTGTCTTCCTGTTAACTTATGACTTTTTAAATTTCTCTTGTAGATAAATATACGAAAATAGTAATCAAATTAGAGTTTTTAAAAGTGTATTCTAGGATATCTGATGTGTACAATATACCAGGGGCTATTTTTTGAGAGAAATTCATTTTCTAGAGATTAGGAAGGTAGGGAGAAGGAGAGAAGGAAGAGAGGTTGATTAATCAGTCCAAAAAATAAGTCCAAAAAATAAGACCGAATGTTTGATAAATTAGTAGAATGACTATAATAAACAATTATCTATTATATATTTAAAAATAGCTATTAGACAATAGTTTGAATGATCCCACATTAACAAAAGTGAGCATATAAGGTAAAGAATATTCTAATTACATTGATTTGATTATTTTACATTACATGAATATATCAGAATATCATATATATCCTGAAAACATGTACGTCTAATATCTATCAATTTAAATGAAAAGAGATTTTATGAATTTCATGTAAATACACACAGAATATGTTTATTGGTAATTTGGAAATCTAAACAAAGTGGATGTCAGCTGCAGTGGGAGATAATTAGTATTCACTGCATAGGATCTTTTGTGTGTGATAAAATATCCTAACATAAAATTTACCATTTTAACCATTTTTAAATGTACAATTCACTGACATTTAGTACATTTATGATGTTGTTTTCCATCACCATTTCCTCTTCCCAGAACTTTTCCATCATCCTAAAGAGAATTTCTGTATCCATTAAACAGTATCTCTCAATTCTCTCTGCACCAATAAACTCTTTTACTTTTTGTTCCCATAAATTTACCTTTTCTAATAACTTATGTAAGTGGAATTGTACAATTTTTGTTCTTTTTGCCTAGTTCATTTTACTGAGTGTAGTGTTTTCAAGGTTTATCCATGTTGTAGCATATATCAGAATTTCATTCCTTTTTATGGCTAAATAATATTCTGCTGTATGTACATATACCACTTTTTAGGAGGTTTTGTAGTTTTTACATTTATTAAATGAAACAGCGTGGTATTTTATCTCATGAGAAATAACATAATTATAACAGAAAAAGTCATCTGGGAAATTGGATTAAACTTGAACTATACAAAATCAGAACAAATTTGAATTCTCAAACTCTCTGGGTTTTTAAAGCATTTTTCCTAAATACTGAAATTTCACAATATCTAAAATTTATTACCAAAACTCAAGAAATGGGAATGAGTAAAATATCAGTATAGAAATATATATTTTTTAAATTTCAAAATGTTAAGGGGGCACAAATTTAGTTACATGGTTCCCTTTTGTAATGCTTGAGTCATGGCCATAGGTGTGCCCATCATCCAAATTCGTTGTACCCATTAGGTAGGTTTTTGTCCCTCCCCTTCTCTACCCTGCAGCCCTTCTCCCTGAGTGATTTCCACTGAGTTTTTCTTCCCTCTGTGCACATTGTGTGCTCATCTGTTAGTTCCAATTTAATAGTTAGTACAGGTGGTGTTTGTTTTTCCATTCTATAAATACTTCTTCACTTAGGAAAATGGTCTCCCGTTCCATCCAAATTATTGCAAAAGGCATTAATTCATCCTTTTTATGACTGAATAATACTCCATGGTATACATATGCAATATTTTATTAATCTACTCATGGATTGATGGGCACTGGGATTGATTCCACATCTTGGCAGATATGAATTGTGCTATAATATACATTTGAGTGTAGGTATCTTTTGGTAAAATGACTTATTTTTCTTTGGGTAGATACCCAGTAGTGGGATTGCTGGGTCAAATGGTAGGTCTACTTTTAGCTCTTTGAGAAATCTGCTTTCCATAGAGGTTGTACTAATTTGCAGTCCCACCAGCAGTGTAAAAGTGTTCTTTTCTCTCTGCATCCATATCAGGATCTATTGGACTTTTTAATAAAAGCCATTCTAAGAGAGGTAAAGTTATATCTCATTATGGTTTTATTTTTTTATTTTTTTGAGACAGAGTCTCACTATGTCATCCTTTAGAGTGTTTTGACATCACAGCTCATAGCAACCTCAAATTCTTGGGCTTAAGTGATTCTTTTGCCTCTGCCTCCCGAGTAGCTGGGACTACAGGTGTCGGCCACAACACCTGACTATTTGTTGGTTGTAGTTGTTGTTTGGAAGGCCCAGGCTGGATTCAGACCCACAGCTCCAGTGTCGGACCCACCAGCTCCAGTGTACATGGCTGGTGCCCTAGCTGCTGAGCTATAGGAGCCAAGCCCTCATCATGGTTTTAATTTGCATTTCCCTGAGGATTAGTGATGTTGTGCATTTTTTCATATCCATTCATCTGTTGATAAACCCTTGGATTGTTTCCTTTTGACTGCTGCAAAATCTTTGGCTATTGCGAATAATTTCTGCTATGAACAGTGGTGTTCAACTATCTGTTTGAGTCCTTGCTTTCTTTTAGGTATATACTAAGGAATGGAATTGCTGGATCATATGGTTAATTCTATGTTTAACAACAAACAGTTTTCTACAGCAGCTACATTATTCCTACCAGCAAGGCATGACAATTCAATTTCTCTACATCCTCATTAACATTTATTTTCTGTGTGTTTTTTTTGTTTGTTTTGTGACAGTCATCCTAGTAAGTATAAAGTGGTAATTCATTGTGGTCTCAGTTTGCATTTCCCTAATGACTAATGATGTTGAGCATCTTTTTATGTGCTGATTGGCTATTTATATATCTTTAGAGAAATGCCTATTCAAGGTCTTTGCCCATGTTTTAATTGGGCTGGCTTTTTGTTATTTGTTTGTATATATTATTTTTTGTACATTATGGATATAAAATCTATTCACAGTTGTATTATTTGCAGACATTTTATCTACTGTGGTGTCTTATGACCATCTTGGTAGTGCTCTTTGATGCACAAAAGTTTTAAATTTTGTTGAAGTCCAATTCATTTTTTCTTGATTGCTGTGTTTTTGGTGTTAATTTCAATGCATCAGTGGCAAGTCCAGCATTATGAATTTTTCCTTGTTCTAAGAGTTTTAAAGTTTTATGTCTTATATTTAGGTCTCTGGTTCATTTTGGATTAATTCTTGTATATCACATAAGAGGATGTGGAGAAATTTGAACTTTCATGCCTCCTTGGTAGGAATGGAACAGCTGCCATGGAAAACAGTTTATTGTTAAACATAGAATTAACCATATGATCCAGCAATTTTACCCCTAGGTATAAGGTAAAAGTCAAAGTCCAGTCTTTTGAATGTGGATATCCAGTTTTCCCAGCACCAATGTTGAAAAAGCTGCTCTTTCCCAGTTGGATAGCCTTAACACTCTTGTTTAGAATTCAGCTGACTGGGTAGTGCCTATAGCTCAGTGAGTAGGGCACCAGCCACATACACTAAGGCTGGCAGGTTCAAACCCAGCCTGGGCCAGCCAAAACAACAAAGACAACAACAACAAATAGCCAGGGGTTGTGGCAGACATCTGTAGTCCCAGCTACTTGGGAGACTGAGGCAAGAGAATCGCTTAAGCCCAAGAGTTTGAGGTTGCTATGAGCTGTGATGCCATGACACTCTACAGGACGACATAGTGAGACTCTGTCTCAAAAAAAAAAAAAAAGAATCAGTTGACCATATATGCAAGAGTTTATATCTGGACTCTCTATTTGATGGTCTAGTCTGTCCATATGTCAGTACCACATTTTGATTACTGTTGTTTTGTAGTAAGTTTTGAAATCAGAAAGTGTGAAGCTTCCAAATTTGTTCTTCCTTTCGAGGATTGTTTTGACCATTCGGGGCCCCTTGAGATTCCTTATGAATTTTAGGATGTGTTTTTCTATTTCTGCAAAAGAAGAAAAAAAAAGGCATTGAGATTTTGGTAGAAACTGTGTTAATGTGTAGGTCACTGTGGGTAATATTATCATCTTAATAAGCCGTCTACTAGGCGTGATGGCTCATCCCTATAATCTCAGCCATTTGGAATGTGGAGATGGGAGGAAGGATTGATGCCAAGAGTTTAAGACCAGCCTGGGTAACATAGCAAGATCACCATTTCTATAAAAAATTAAAATATTAGCTGGGTGTGGCAGTACCTCTGTAGTCCTAGCTACTCAAGAGGCTCAGGCAGGAGGATCACTTGAACCCTGAAGTTTGAGGTTACAGTGAATTATGATTAAGCCACTGCACTTTAGCCTGGGCCACAAAGTGAGACTGTCTCAAAAAAAAAAAAAATTCAAGTCTTTCATTCTATGAACATAGATATATCTTTTCATTAATTTATTTCTTCTTTAACTTCTTTGTAGTTTCAGTGTACAAGTCTTTTGTCTAAGTATTTATGAGTAGGCTATTCATAAATACATATGTATGTATTTATATACAGAAGGTAAAAAGCCAAACTTACAGTTGATATTCTTACAGTGGGAAAATTTCCATCATTTTTTTTGGTGTAATGATCTCTTCTAAAACATTTTTATCTTGCTAACTTTTTGATTCTATGTGTCAGTCTTTGGCTGGTTATGGTAGCTTCATACTTATAGCAAAATAGTCTCTTGATTTTATTCTGTGATTAATTTTTGAAGTAAATGTGATACTACTTACATTTCAAGATACCTTTTATGTTTCTAGTTTATTGTTTAGTTATATTTTTTAATTGTTTCTACCAGTAATATATTTCTGAAAAATGGCATTTAAATAAGTTATAACCTTATATAATAGAAAATTTGTTAGTTTCTCATACTTCACATTATTCTGTTGAGATTCCTGTCCTGAGGCTTGATACTCTACCAATTGATTGAATTCTGTGGAGTTTGGAAAGAATTATAACATGCTGCTGATTACTTTTGGGGCTACAAGCAGAATCTTTGTAAGGTATATGAGAATTCTCCATGAAATTAATTTCTTTCTTCCCTGTGGATAATTTAACTCATTTAGAGCACCTGGTACCATTTAGGATTTTGAGGTGGACTAAAAAT